GTCTTAAGCACATTCCTGCACTCTTGCAGCAACACGAGTTTTGCGGCTTTAGCGTTGAGAAATATTGACAGCAACAAATAAAAAAGAAAAAGCACAGATACAGGACTGTCTCAGAAAATTAGAATATTGTGATAAAGTTCTTTATTTTAATATCGCTGATTATGGCTCAAAGCTTAAGAAACCCAAATATCCTATCTCAAAATATTAGAATATCGGATTTTTTGTGTTATGTTAAAACAATAAAAGGCTTGCGATATTTCAGTTGATTTGTAATGAATCCAGAATGTATGACATTTCATGATTTTTAATTGCATTACAGAAAATAAAGAACTTTATCACCATATTCTAATTTTCTGAGACAGTCCTGTATATTTAACCAGACAAATTACAACTTTAGTGTCGTCACAACAAAGCAAGGCAAAAACACACAACAGTTAAAGATCCAGCTGGATCCCAGAACCAAAAAGGAGGCCGTAAAAAAGAGCCGAAAAAGTGGGAGATGTTCCTAGACTCTGAAATGTGGCACACATGTTGCAATCCTTTTCAAAGTTCACGTCGGGGAGCAGGGAAGAACAAATAAGCCGAAAAGAGCCAAAAAACTCTGAAGTCCAGCCCTCAAAGATAACAGTCAGATGGCACCTGTCACGTAGGCAAACTGGCAGCTTTTTCCTTCTATTAGCATACCAGCACAACAGCAAATAAAGACACATTCCTGCACCTGCTCTGACACAGGCCCGGTTCTCGGTTAAGACAATGAGCTGAGGGCAGCATCTCATCTCACTGGGCAGAAACTCCAGCGTGCACGTGAAGCCTCTCGTCCCACACCGGAAAGAGTGCTAGTCTGTTTACACGGCGTGCATGTCGGGCGCATTTTTCTGGTCCCTCGGTGACCCACGAGCAAAAAGATGCCTGAGCATGTTAACTGATAATGGACTCCAAAGTCTATCCCGAGAATGCCTTCAAACAGGGAAGCAAATCAAGATAAAAACTACATTTTCCTAAACACTTTTTATATGTTCTATTTAGATCAGATGGATTTTAAAAGGTGGATTTTGGGCTGTGAAATACACTTTTTTTAAAAGCCAGTAACCCCCCCCTTCCCCCTTAAAGTCCGTTGTGTTTATACAGTAGAAAGCTCTACATTAAGTCACCTATTTAGCTGCAGACAAACCGGAAGTTCAAATATACCCACTTCTAAAAGCATTCTATAAATAAAAAAAATCTATATATTTACTCTATATATGTTCTAACATTCTGTATGCTGGCTAGTAATGATCACTGGCCAATATTTAAACTTAATTTGGTGCAAATTCTGATATCCATGGACAGAAATGAACACTTCAATGACGCTAAATGTGTCACGTAATGTCAACATCATTTAAACGTATAATAACACAGCTTTACTCAACAGGTGTTTCCAGTTGATTCAACAACCAATAAATAGGAAAGAAACAACAAGTAAACATCGCCAATCTGCAGGAGTCACGCGCAGCTTTGAGCGCTCGTGACTTTGTTGTGAAAAGCCAAACCGGAAGTAGCCCGTGTTAGCCACCTAGCTTGACTTCTGAGTTGTTTGAGGAAGTCCAAGCTACACGAACCGGCCACGGAACAAGTTCAAATGTAAACTGTGTGACACCGACACGTCTGCCTCCAAATCCAAATAAAACCAAATAAACTACCTTAGCTTTATTTTTAAATTACAGCTCTTCTTTTGGGGGTGTTAAAGGGGTTATAAACGGGCGGACGCGGACGCCTGTGGCGGCCGTTGCCCCCCAACGGACCTCCGGTTGTCGCCCGTCTCGCGCCCGGAACGTTATTTTCAGTTAGTCGGACCCGGTCGTCAACGGCAACCGTGGAAACCGCCGTTTTAATGTTTAAAAAATAAAGAAAAATGACGAAAATTAAAAAGAAAACCGGGCTGTAAAAAGACGCACCGGGCTTTTGCTCGAAACCGGGAATGATCCAGGGGGGTGGGACTGAATGAGAAGTGGGGGGGTGTGTGTGGGGGGGTGTGAGGGAAGGGGAAGGGGAAGGGGGGGGGGG